TCACAAATTATAGAACCTAAACAATTCTTAACAACAGTCGGTCAAATAACAAAACAAAACTTTATGAGTAACCATATCGAACCTTCAGTTGAAAACTTTCAACTAATTCTAGATCTAAATAAACTAAAATTATGGACAAATATTAACAAACTTATACATGTGGGATAGTGTGACGTCAGGGAAGGAAGTGGCGTGAGGGGTAATTATTTATTAGCGTTGTCGAGATATGTCGATGTTGTCAAGGAGTGTTGTGATCGTTACCAAGGTATGTTAAGGGAAAAATGAGCATGGAAAATGCTATCAGAGTTGAATTTATCGTGGTCGTGCGAAGTACGTTGTGTTGCTGTGTCGTAGAATTAGTGAGTAACGAATACGCGAAACGCGGTATTATATTCGATTTCGTATGAGTGCAACGATATTGTATTCATCATACTGTTTTCTATAAATTTATAACATAACATCCCTACAAATTGGAGGCTCGTGCCGAGGATTTTTTAAACCGCGCCGATCTAAAACTTCGAGAAGCGGTGTGATAAAAGATCGTTAGCCGTTGCGAATAATATCGTGTGTATTCAAATACATTATTGTAAAGTCTAAGACAGCAAATTGTGAAGAGGAACAATTGGCTAGCGAAGAAAATCTAACGATGGAAGAATTACGAAACAAGCTTGCTCAGATGAATCTACCGATATCTGATGCAAGGTCAGTGCTGGTGGCCAGGCTAAATAGAGCGCGCAGTGCAGGCCAAGCAAATCTTAAAGTACAAGTGAGTAGTGAAAGGTCCGTGGAGAAGCGAGGTACGGGGACGAAGCCAAAAAATAAGCATGGTCGAGATGTAGATGAAAGTCTCGAGAGCCTTAGGACGAAGGAATTGAGGGAACGTCTAGCAAGTATGGAGCTAGAGACGAGAGAAAGAAAAGCTGAATTACGTGAGCGACTACAGGCGGCCATGAAAGAGGAGGCATCGCCGAAAGTGACTACGAAAGTGAAACGGAAGACGATGAAGAAGGTGAAAGTGAACGCAGAAGGAGCCCGCGAGATGTACATCAGAATTGTGACAAATGCTGTAGAAAGACACGTGGGCGTACAACATTAAGTTTTCAAGATGTCCAAGACGCCTTAGAAGTTTTTGCGGGCGAAAACAATGAAAATATCAATCAATGGCTCAAGACGTTTGAAGAAACAGCACGCATGTGTATGTGGACAGAAGAGTAGAAAGTAATTTATACAAAAAAGCTGATGAGATAATCAGCAAAAATATTTGTGAATTATGAGTGCCAAGCTAGAACTTGGCGTAAATTAAAAACAGGACTAATAAAGGAATTTTCAAAGAAGGTAATACTTGGCAAATACACCATAGATGGGATAGTGTGACGTCAGGGAAGGAAGTGGCGTGAGGGGTAATTGTTTATTAGCGTTGTCGAGATATGTCGATGTTATCAAGGAGTGTTGTGATCGTTACCAAGGTATATTAAGGGAAAAATGAGCATGGAAAATACTGTCAGAGTTGAATTTATCGTGGTCGTGCGAAGTTCGTTGTATTGCTGTGTCGTGGAATTAGTGAGAAACGAATATGCGAAACGCGGTATTATATTCGATTTCGTATGAGTGCAACGATATTGTATTTTTCATACTATTATCTATAAACTAATAATGTAACATTCCTGTAAAATTGGAGGCTCGTGCCGAGGATTTAAACCGTGCCAATCTAAAATTTTTTATTGTTTTTTATCGATAAGCGGTGTGATAAAAGACAATATCGTTAGTTGTTGAGAATAATATCGTGGGTATTCAAAAGACATTATTGAAAAGACTAAGATGACAAATTGGGAAGAGAAGCAATGTTTTAGTGAGGAAACCTAACACTGCAAGAATTAAGAAACAATCTTGCGCAGATAAATCTACCAATATCTGGTGCAAGGTCAATATTGGTTGCCATTTTAAATCAAGCGTGCAGTGCAGAACAATCTAATCTCAAAGAACCAGCAAACGGTGAAAGATCCACGGAGAAGCGAGGCTTGGGGACCATACCAAAAACTAAGCGCGATCAAGATGAAGGCGAAAATCTCGAGAAGCTTAGGACAAAGGAATTAAGAGAACGTCTTGCTAGTATGGGACTAGAGACGAGAGACAGAAAGCTGAATTACGTGAGCGACTACAGGCGGCCATGGAAGAAAAAGCATCGTCGAAAGAAGGAAGTGACTACGAAAGTGAAACGGAAGACGATGAAGAAGACGAAAAAGAAAGCAGAAAGAATCATCGTTATCTTCGCGCTTCTTCCGCCGAATTCTCGGAAGAGCATACACGCGCCAGCCGCGGCGGCACATCTAATGAACGCACGCTAGTGAGGATATAGGTAGGCGCGAACCAAGCAAAGAATCCTCTCAATTTGGAACTAAAAGAACATTTCACCCCGAGCCGCGAAGCGTGGAAGTTGAAGAGAAACGAGTCGGCCATTTTCGAGAGATCGGTCAATCACCACTATTGTTAATCGTTAATCAACTGCTGTTATTCGTTGCTATCGTTAATTGTTATTCATAGTTATCAAGTGATAGAGTTTAATAAAAATAAATAAATTAGAGTTTAATAAATCAACTATTGTTGAATACAGCTGAGTATTCCTTCCACACCTATCACGACATTCCACCTCGCGGCAATCATCCACATTTGTAAAAGAACTCAAGCAAGCCATAATAGGATCAATTCACTCGAATGTAGAATCGAATTAATTGATAATCAACAGGCAGTCAAAACTTATCCAACTGCTGTATCTTTGCCCAAAAGCGCTAGGCCGTAAAGCATAGGACCGACATGCCTAATGTACACCATATCCCTATGCATATAAGATGCATACGCGGCAACCGTCGCGGACACCTAATAAACGCGTACGTAGTGGTGATATCGAGAGGCAGCCAAGGACAAGAAACCATTTGATTCTGAACTAAAGATTCATTCTGCCCCGAGCTGCGAAATGCGAAAGGTTAGCGTCATAGCGAGGAAAACACTATTAGAGATTGTGGCGGCACGTGTCACGGAACTTTCCAACGGCTTCGTGATACAAAACGCTACTACGCCGTCAAAGCGCAACACCGACGTGCGCAATGTGCCATCGATATCTTCACGCTTCTTCCGCCGAATTCTCGGAAGAGCATACACGCGCCAGCCGCGGCGGCACATCTAATGAACGCACGCTAGTGAGGATATAGATAGGCGCGAACCAAGCAAAGAATCCTCTCAATTTGGAACTAAAAGAACATTTCACCCCGAGCCGCGAAGCCTGGAAGTTGAAGAGAAACGAGTCGGCTATTTTCGAGAGATCGGTCAATCACCATTGTTAATCGTTAATCAACTGCTGTTATTCGTTGCTATCGTTAATTGTTATTCATAGTTATCAAGTGATAGAGTTTAATAAAAATAAATAAATTAGAGTTTAATAAATCAACTATTGTTGAATACAGCTGAGTATTCCTTCCACACCTATCACGACATTCCACCTCGCGGCAATCATCCACATTTGTAAAAGAACTCAAGCAAGCCATAATAGGATCAATTCACTCGAATGTAGAATTGAATTAATTAATAATCAACAGGCAGTCAAAACTTACCTAACTGCTGTATGTTTGCCCAAAAGCGCTAGGCCGTAAAGCGTAGGACCGACATGCCCAATGTACACCATCGATATTCCTATGCATATAAGATGCATACGCGGCAACCGTCGCGAACACCTAATAAACGCGTGCGTAGTGGTGATATCGAGAGGCAGCCAAGGACAAGAAACCATTTGATTCTGAACTAAAGATTCATTCTGCCCCGAGCTGCGAAATGCGAAAGGTTAGCGTCATAGCGAGGAAAACACTATTAGAGATTGTGGCGGCACGTGTCACGGAACTTTCCAACGGCTTTGTGATACAAAACGCTACGCCGTCAAAGCGCAACACCGACGTGCGCAATGTGCCATCGATATCTTCACGCTTCTTCCGCCGAATTCTCGGAAGAGCATACACGTGCAAACCGCTGCGGCATATCCAATGAACGCACGCTAGTGGGGGTGGATGGGCAACGAAGGGAAGAATCCGCTCGATTTGGAACAAAAAAGACATTCTACCCCGAACCGCGAAGGGAAAATATTGAAGAGAAACGAGTGGGCTATTTTCGAGAGATCGGTCAATCGTCGCTGTTGTTAATCGGCGTCAAAGCGTCCACTATTGTTAATTGTTATTCAACCGTTGTTAATCGTTCATTGTTATCTAGTGATAGAGACTAATAAACGTTATTGGTTTGTTGAACATATGTGAGTGTATCTTCAGTAGCTATTACGACCTATATATCTCAAGATACGTGATTATTAACTCTTAATAGATAATTGTTAATCGTTAATTGTTGTTGATAGTTAATCTTTAATTGTTGTTAATCGTTAATCGTTATTTGTTGGTGATAGTTAATCGTCAATCGCTAAGTGTTGACCGTAAATTGTTGACTTTTATTGTTGACCAGCAAGAGTATTTCTTGTAGGCACCTTTGCCAACAGCTACCTCAGACGTATTATGTGAAACACATAAAATCCTAGAAATCAAACAACCGAGTTTAATTAGCAGCAAAACCCGATGTATAATCACACGCGAGTTCAATATTATGAAAATAGGAGAAACACATAAAAATATTTTACGAAATCAAAATTAAAAAAGTTCACACAGTTTCAAAGAAATAGACATCCCAACGCTAGAAGAAATATTAGAAACGGCCTTAAAGATAACTCTCAACTTTAACCAATGCCAACCTCAATACGTTATGAACACAAGTCAGTACCCTACAATTTGAGCGACGTATAAATTCACTAAAGAAACATGGCATGTCCACACTACAAATATTAGAATATGTAGCCCTAGGACTAGGAACAACATATATAATGTATAAATGTGAACTTTTCGAAAGTCTATATCGACTAATTCCTAAATATATCAAAATACTCTGCCCTACCGCTTACGTAAACTTTATTGATCAAATACCAACGGCACCAATTTCTCCACCAGTCCGCAGGACGATTGCCCAAAATGAAGCCTAAAATATCACCGAAGATGAAGATAACGAGATCGTTCAACTCGTACGACCCACCAAAGCCGCACGCTTTAACGGAGCAAAGCGGGAATATTACAGAAACAGTAATAGGGTAGACAAAACATCCTGTATGTCACAGGCATTGGAACAATAATCAGATAGTGACAGGAAAGCCGCGTCTGATAGACAGCCGACGATAACCCCTCCAAAGAGACCAAAGCTTAGTATAAGAACCCTCACAAATCAGCGCCCAACACCTTTTCGTTATAACACTGAAGCGTTACGCGAAAACATCACCAGTGATCTATTAGTTTCGTGATTTCCTGTGTCTTCTACGTGACATATGCATCGTCGCTCGAAAACTTTATTGTACACAACCATCCTCAGTTCAGATGGCGATCGCCTAACCTCTCAAAGCCCGCGGCTTGCCATGAGTTCTCTCTTTTCGCTCATGTGGTGCATTAGTATGCTACTGCACGTGGTACACGCAAATAATTCACCCAGGTTGCAAACCGCTGCGGCATATCCAATGAACGCACGCTAGTGGGGGTGGATGGGCAACGAAGGGAAGAATCCGCTCGATTTGGAACAAAAAAGACATTCTACCCCGAACCGCGAAGGGAAAATATTGAAGAGAAACGAGTGGGCTATTTTCGAGAGATCGGTCAATCGTCGCTGTTGTTAATCGGCGTCAAAGCGTCCACTATTGTTAATTGTTATTCAACCGTTGTTAATCGTTCATTGTTATCTAGTGATAGAGACTAATAAACGTTATTGGTTTGTTGAACATATGTGAGTGTATCTTCAGTAGCTATTACGACCTATATATCTCAAGATACGTGATTATTAACTCTTAATAGATAATTGTTAATCGTTAATTGTTGTTGATAGTTAATCTTTAATTGTTGTTAATCGTTAATCGTTATTTGTTGGTGATAGTTAATCGTCAATCGCTAAGTGTTGACCGTAAATTGTTGACTTTTATTGTTGACCAGCAAGAGTATTTCTTGTAGGCACCTTTGCCAACAGCTACCTCAGACGTATTATGTGAAACACATAAAATCCTAGAAATCAAACAACCGAGTTTAATTAGCAGCAAAACCCGATGTATAATCACACGCGAGTTCAATATTATGAAAATAGGAGAAACACATAAAAATATTTTACGAAATCAAAATTAAAAAAGTTCACACAGTTTCAAAGAAATAGACATCCCAACGCTAGAAGAAATATTAGAAACGGCCTTAAAGATAACTCTCAACTTTAACCAATGCCAACCTCAATACGTTATGAACACAAGTCAGTACCCTACAATTTGAGCGACGTATAAATTCACTAAAGAAACATGGCATGTCCACACTACAAATATTAGAATATGTAGCCCTAGGACTAGGAACAACATATATAATGTATAAATGTGAACTTTTCGAAAGTCTATATCGACTAATTCCTAAATATATCAAAATACTCTGCCCTACCGCTTACGTAAACTTTATTGATCAAATACCAACGGCACCAATTTCTCCACCAGTCCGCAGGACGATTGCCCAAAATGAAGCCTAAAATATCACCGAAGATGAAGATAACGAGATCGTTCAACTCGTACGACCCACCAAAGCCGCACGCTTTAACGGAGCAAAGCGGGAATATTACAGAAACAGTAATAGGGTAGACAAAACATCCTGTATGTCACAGGCATTGGAACAATAATCAGATAGTGACAGGAAAGCCGCGTCTGATAGACAGCCGACGATAACCCCTCCAAAGAGACCAAAGCTTAGTATAAGAACCCTCACAAATCAGCGCCCAACACCTTTTCGTTATAACACTGAAGCGTTACGCGAAAACATCACCAGTGATCTATTAGTTTCGTGATTTCCTGTGTCTTCTACGTGACATATGCATCGTCGCTCGAAAACTTTATTGTACACAACCATCCTCAGTTCAGATGGCGATCGCCTAACCTCTCAAAGCCCGCGGCTTGCCATGAGTTCTCTCTTTTCGCTCATGTGGTGCATTAGTATGCTACTGCACGTGGTACACGCAAATAATTCACCCAGGTATTTCAAGCAGAAATACGTCAAGAGTGAAATGAAATCGAGAGAGTTTTGCAAATGGAGATGGTGGATGACGGTCGCAAGAAGATGGAAGTAAGAAATAAAACGGAAAATAAAAAGAGGAAAAAGGAAAAATAAAAAAAGGCGAGAAAGTAAAAACGAGAGTAGGAGATGAAATAATTTTGTTCTCACAGCGAAGATCATGCCGTTTATCTGGCAATAAAACGCGGTTTAGATTTATTCTGGTTAAATGAGTTTACCTCGTAATGCAACCACCGTTCTTGTTGGAAAACGATTATTTTCCGCACGACGGAAATTATATAATTCGAAAGAATTTCCACGAGAGAACTAATTAATTATATCTCGACCGACGTTCTTCCAACTATCCCAACTATTCAGGCGTCGAAAAATCAGTGACGCTTTCGAGGGATCTAGGTTAAACCGAGGCTGCTGATATATGTATGTATATACGTCCATATACGTCCATATAGGTCCATATACGTACATATACGTACATATGCGTACATATACGTATGTGCATTGCAAGAGGTCAGAGTTCGATTAGCGTGCACTCCTGTGGCTATTAAGAGTTTCTTCGCTTAACTTCACCGCGGTCCTCCAATTTTTGTATTGCAATTTTACTCCTGTTTTAGTGAATAACTGAATTTTTTATATTTTACCATTTGTAAACCATTGTAGCGGCACAAGACCGGTTATAACCGTCATCGGTTATCGCCGATTATCGGCTATCTCCTATTTTAATTTTATCCTATTTTAATCCTGCAATCGCGGGTTCCGACCCAGCTGCATGGTGCGCAGCAACAAAAACATAGCCTGGACAGAGAAACACGAAAAGAGTAGACAAAAAGTAATTTCCGTTCTAACTGACGAACCGGTATTAATGATGTTCGACCCTAATTATCCCATAGAATTACATACTGACGCTAGTTCTGACGGGTATGGGACCATTTTAACGTATAAGGTCGAGGGGAAAAACAGGGTCGTTGAATATTACAGCAAAACGATCAGTCCTGCGGAATCCAGATATCATTTATATGAACTAGAAAAACGTCTCTAACGCTAACGAGCAGTTGTAAATGCTGTCAAGCATTTCCGACATTATTTGCACGGGCTAGAATCCTATTTGCACGGGCTAGAATCCGTAGTTGTTACCGACTGTAATTCGTTGAAAGCATCCAGCAACAACGTAAATCTAAACGACCGGGTCTATAGGTGGTGGGCTTATTTACAAACGTTCAATTATGATATTATATATCGGGAAGGTAAATCGTGGCCCACGTAGATTTTCGCGAACCCCGTAGAATTGGATCAACGTTCAATCAATAAAATCGTGGAGAAAGAAATTAAGCTGACTGAAATATCCTAAGATTGGTTAGTAGCGGAACAACGTCGCGATTTCCAAATTATAGAAATCGTCAAATTACAAAACGATGAGCTTGCAGACGCTATCGCGAACACTTACGGACTACGATCTGGCACCCTTTATCGTAAGATACAAAAAAAAGGCAGAACTCTCGGCTTGCCCATTGTCCCCAGAGGTTTTATGTGGTCTGTTATTAATCATGCGCACTAGTCAATTATGCACTTAGGTCGGGATAAAACACTCGAGAAGTTATATGAGTATTACTGGTTCAAAGGAATGACGAAATATGTTTGTAAATTCGTAGAGAACTGTCATACTTGTCAAGTTTCTAAGTCAAGTTCAGGTAAAATACAGCATATAAGATCAGCATACCTTCCTTGGCATGCAGTTCACATAAACATAACAAGCAAGTTAAGTGTTAAAAGTGATTTGATAGAATATGTGGTGGCACTCGACCACGAAAATTTCCAACGTCTTCGCGGCACAAAGCGTAAAGCCGATGTAAAGGCCTTATACCATCGCAATCCCTACGGTTTCTTCGCCGAATATTCGATAGAATGCATACTCAGAAGACGTTGCGAACTTCTAATAAACGCACGAGTAGTGGAGATATCGAGGGGCAACAAAGGAAAGAATCTGTTCGGTTTTGAACCAAAAAGATTCGTTCTGCCCCGAGCCGCGAAGTGCGAAAGATAAAGAGAAGCAAACACAATTAGATAAACAAGTCGTCTACTCTCAACAGTTCAGTGTTGATCACTAGATATTATTCATCATTGTTAAACGTCAACCGTTGTTAAACGTTAACCGTTGTTAATCGTTAACCGTTGTTAATCGTTAATCGTGCTTAATCATTAATCGTGGTTAAGCGTTATTTACTGCTAATTGTTAAGAGTCTAATAAACGTTATTGTTGAAAATCAAGGGTATTTTCTTGTGGGCACCTTCACGGACGATCATCTCATAAGTGTGAATAAATATCTTGGTTGTTAAACATACATATAAGATCAGCATACCTTCCTTGGCATGCAGTTCACATAAACATAACAAGCAAGTTAAGTGTTAAAAGTGATTTGATAGAATATGTGGTGGCACTCGACCACGAAAATTTCCAACGTCTTCGCGGCACAAAGCTTAAAGCCGATGTAAAGGCCTTGTACCATCGCAATCCCTATGGTTTCTTTGCCGAATATTCGATAGAATGCATACGCAGAAGACGTTGCGAACTTCTAATAAACGCACGAGTAGTGGAGATATCGAGGGGCAACAAAGGAAAGAATCTGTTCGGTTTTGAACCAAAAAGATTCGTTCTGCCCCGAGCCGCGAAGTGCGAAAGATAAAGAGAAGCAAACACAATTAGATAAACAAGTCGTCTACTCTCAACAGTTCAGTGTTGATCACTAGATATTATTCATCATTGTTAAACGTCAACCGTTGTTAAACGTTAACCGT